CATTCATTTGTTTTAATTTTTTTATTTTTCAAACTATGCACTGCAATTGTGTTTTATCGATTTGATGCTAGGAATACATGACATTGGTTATATCCTTTTGTTTTCACGGTTGATGAATCTTTTGTTTTCGGTTATGAATGGGTGATTTCGGGGATGCAAATAATTTTGTTTTGCATAGCTCCTTGTTTTGTTGTGATTGCATTGATGGAGCTGCATGCATGAGTGAGTTTGTTAAGCTGAGAGGATTTATTTTGACGGTGGGATTAACTGATTCAGTGCTCTTATAATTAACAAGTGTCTTTGATACTTACTTAGACCCTTGAATGAAGCAAGAATCTTTAAGAACATTGGATTGGAGATATTGAAGGTGCTGTGTATTTTTTTGTTTTTAGCATTACATTATTTAGAAGGTGGTTGTCTTTTCATGTAGTTTACTTAGTGAGTTTTGGTTTACAACTTTTATTAGCCGTCAGATTGTTAATATTAATGTGATATGAAGTAATTGGCATTTTAATGCCGCCATGTCTTATATTATGAGTTGTTTAGAATGTAGAAAAATAAGCTGATGTAAAAGTGTACTGCCAACTAAAAAAGAATCTCTTACAACTTTTTTTCCAATACCTTGTTCATCTTTCTTTTGGCTGATATGCTATATTATTGAGTGTGTTAGCACTAGTCTATTTTTCTTACCCACTCTAAAGTTCGTGGGTTGGGATTTATTATAACATAGGCGAGGTTCAGATCGAGAGATTGGCAACAAATTTGGTAGTCTCTAGCACCCCGACTATTTGGCACATACAATATGTTGCCCTGGTCATGTTATCAGATAACATTTATTTGGTTTTGCCTTCTAAAGTAAGGTTGCTCAGAGCCCTCTAATCTCTAGAGATAGTTGTGCTAGATGAAAAGAAATTTTTAGGAAGGTTGAGTTTTTTTCCTTGGAAGTATGAAAATTTCATTGATTAAAAGTTATATTGCACTAAAAAGTAAAAATTACAAGAAAATAGTCATCAGATCCAAGAAGTTAGAACAATGAACAATTACATCTCGTCCGAAAGAAAGAAGGGTAAGAACAAGGAATTGGTGAGTAGATAACAACAAATATGGTGGCATCATTTTTAAGCATATTTTGGATTTTGGTTAGTGCTATGATAGTTATACAAATTCTGAGTTGAAGGCCCATTAAATCTTGATGTTGAAGTATATATCTTTTTGTGGCCATCAGTAGATACAACATATCAAAAGTATCCTCCTTATCTGATTTTCATCGCCATCTTATTTTTTTGCAAATCTTCTTATGTTTATGCTATTTGAGTTCTATATCATGGAGCTTACCTTATTTTTAATGCAAATATGAGTTCTTGCATTAGCGAACTATAGGTAGATTCACTTAGTAATATCTTCATCACTCAGATTGTCCAAAAATAGATAAATAAGTTGGTTAGTCAAAGTAGGTTACTTCTAAGTGAGTCTACTTATTTGCATTTAAATATTTTCTGTTGAAATGTCTTATATTTGCTTCTGCAGATAAGCCACTTCAAGTGACGTGCAAGTCAGCTTACATGTTTAAAAGAAGATACACATAGATATAAGATGCCACATCAACTCACTCATTGTTGGGTTTATTTTGGAATCGAGATTTATTCTAAATTTCTAATTTAACTAAATATTTTAAATGCAACCCTTGACAAGGATTTAGTTAAAAGAAATATCCAAGCAAAATCCAGGAACTGGCAGCAATGATCGAAGGTTCATGTTATGTCAAAAATTAGTGGTAAAACGTATGCCTGAGTTTATGAAATGCATCCTATTTTGCAGGAAACTGAATCACAAGGGTAAATCCAAAAAGATTATGTTAGTTGCTGAATATTACACCTTCAAAGGTTAAGAATATATTTGGCGTAAGATAGTGCAAGGAGTTGAAAGATAATAACATTGAGGGGAATAAGCTAAGTAGTAAGATGATTTGTGTTGAGCTAATTGTTTTTTTAGAATATTTTGAAGGTTTTTAATGGTCGTACTCTTTAATTGGTTTAAAAGAAATTATGAATGTCAATTTTGCGAAGAAAGGGGCGGATTGCCATAATATATATATGAGAAAGAGAGGATAATTCTTCTAGTGACTGAAATGAATATATATATATATTATATATATATATTCTATTAAGATAAGTTTTGAGTGGATCCAGGGTGTGAAGGAGGCCATCGTTGCTATTCTTATTCTAATTATTAGGGCTTGCTTTATGATTGATGCACCATGTACTAAATCCATTCTATATATTTTTTTTGATATCTTTCATCTGTGTTATCTTTACTCGTTTATCATCATTCTTAATCCGTCGATGCTAATGTTATTTATTTGTCAATAATATATCATGTGTGCAAGCGTCTAAAGGGAAAGGGGAAGTATCCAAAGGGATTATGGAAGTTGTTGAATATTATAGACTTTGAAAAGGTTAAGAATATATTTGGAGTGGAAATTTTGTAGCATAAAGAAATGAAGAATAATTACACTATAATGAATAAGGCTAGTAATATGATGATTTATATAAGTTTTTGTTTTGAATATTATAAAGACGGTTAGTGCTTAATGGTTTTTAATTGGATCACATAAAATTTTGAATGTTAATTTTACAATGAAATGGTGGATTGCTACAGCGTATGTCTGAGTAAGAGAGTGTGGTTATCATAGGTACTTAAATGAACATATAGATTCTATTAAGTTGAACCGTGAGTGGATTTATGGTATGAAGAGATCATCATATTAATCATTGCTAACCTTATTCTAACTATTTGGGGTTGACTTTATGAGTTGGGCATGTGGTATTAAATCTATTCTATTATTTTTTTTTTTTGCACAATTTTCTTATGCTAGTTTTGGTTTATTCTCTTCCTTCTTAGCTCTTCAACACCTATTTAACCTGTCTTTTGAGTGAAATCTATTTTTATTCATCTTATTTTCAAATATTCTATTACCACCACCCTTATAATATAATAATTTATGAACCTATCTTTTTAGTTAAAATGGCTGGTTATAGAATATTAATGTTAAATTTTTGTTTAGATGAGAAATAATGAAGGGCAATATTGGAGAAAAAATAATTATGAATGATATTTTTTTCTCAAGGATAAATAGTAACAAAATAATTGGGAGATTATAGTGTTTATATCCTTGGTGTGATAGAATAGCTAATGAAGACATATTTAGTTATTTAAGGATTTATTTTTTCTCTGTTTTAAGAATGTATACAAATAAGGGCAATACTTTCAAATATTTTGGGAACATATTCTCTGAGGTATTTATATGGGGAAAAAACTTTATTTAGGATTTGTGTAAGGCTTTTGAAGAAAAAATTGTCTGAATATGTTTTGTTAGTTACAAACATCACAATGAAATGTTTTAATACAGATTTCATTTGGAAAATAAAAGAAATATAATTTTGAGAATAATATATGATGTTAACTAAGGTAGAGATGTTAAAGTCTATTTTTCTTTATTAACTTTAAGGATTTTTGTGAGAAGAGATAATACTAAAGTTTATTTTTCTGAGAAGGATTTTTCATTGGATTCCTTAATGTGGTAAGAGACTATTCATTCCTTAGTAGGCCCAATCATCTTTCTTATGCCCTATTCAATATACTTAGAACTTTAGTCAATTTTCAAATAGATGTCATATTAGTAACTAATTTAGGTACATGAAGATTAGTCAAGAGCACGAGGGATTCACTTATAATAGTATCTTCTTGATCGATCTTGATTGTCAATGATCCATGGGCAATGTTCATTCATTCATTCATTTCTCTTCTTGCAAGCGGTATATGAAATAAATTTGTAAAAGACGGTTATATGGTTTGTAGCTTTTGAATTAATGATTTCGGAGCTAAAACTGTTCATCTTTGAGACTTCAAAGAAGATGAGATAATATCTGACAATGTTTTAGTATTAGTACTTTCTGAAAGTGCTTTATCAAGTGCTTCTAAAATGCTTTTTAATCTTTTTGTGCTTTTTAAATAACCCATAAAGAAGATGAGATATTATCTGACAATGTTTTAGTATTAATACTTTCTGAAAATGCTTTATCAAGTGCTTCTAAATTGCTTTTTAATCTTTTTGTGCTTTTTAAATAACCCAAATATCTCCTCCTTTTTAAGAGCTTGCTAACTAATCACATCCATTTAGGTAATTTTTTTTATTTAATTGATATGTAGAATTGATATATTACAACTCTCCTCTCATATATAGATTGAATCTTTCAATTCCAAGATATTTTGAGATCAAACGTATGTGGGCTTCGTTGTTATTATCCATGGAGAGGAAAACAATTGTTTTGTTCATAGGAGAATAGAAAAGAAAAGAATTGCAAAAATGCCTCTAAGATTGGGAAAAATTTACTGTAATGCAGTGATGAAGGCTGCTTTAATGGGAAATGTTTGGTAATACAATGATAAAAGCGGCAGTTGAGTTAATTCAAACTATTAAAAAAGAAAAAAAGAAAGACTGCAGTCATAGAAAAATTGGAGAAATTGAATAGAGTGCAGCAGTGAATGTTGCAGGATTTTGATAATGCAATGATGAAAGCTACAATAATAAAAATACCAGCAATTGAAAATGCTTTGGCCTTTAACATCATAACACGAATTGGTTGAGTTATTCCATTTCAATATGTTCAAACTTTATGCAATATTAGAAAAGCATCTGATAGAAGAAATATGAAATTGAAGAATATAATCAATTGCAAAGTAATTACAATTGCCCATGCATTGATAAATAGACAGTAGGAATCCCACATATCAATAAGATGATAGTGGAAGAGCAAGGAAAGGAGGCACAAGTATTAATCAGTGTGGGTCTCAACTGATTGAAATTATAGGGGCGTTCCACCTTTTTGTGTATAATAATTGTGGTGTAAATATGATCGTGATTGAATTCTTCTTTCTATTTCTTGATTTACTAAAATCCTCCCCCTTTTCTTTAAAAAAAGCATGCGCCTCTTATGCAGGAGATGAGTTCATTAGATGTAACAAGAGCAGAGCTTGCTCTGTTGGTCTTGTACCTCAATAAAGCGGAGGCTAGGGATAAGATTTGCAGGGCTATTCAATATGGGTCTAAATTTGTGAGCAATGGACAGGCTGGTACTGCACAGAATGTTGACAAATCAACCAGCTTAGCAAGAAAAGTTTTTCGACTTTTCAAGGTGAGGTTTTAATTTTGTAGTAACCATAAACTGTTTTCTTTCTGTTACTTGACCCCCATGGTTGTTATCTGGTGAAATTGCAGTTTGTGAATGATTTACATGCTTTGATAAGTCCTCCCGACCAGGGGACCCCTCTTCCTCTCATATTAGTTGGAAAGGTGCGTGATTACTTCTTATGGGGGGCATTTACATGCATGTTACACAATTCTTATGTATTTACATTTCTAATGCCTAAACTTTACTTTCTACATTTATAACACCCAAATCTTTCGTATCACATCAAAAGCACTACTGTTATAACTTTTAAGATGTGAAATACACCTTTTCATGCATACGTAAGGTGTCATATATGTAAAAAGTTAAAGTTTAGATGTTAGATATGCAAATATTCTTTACATCTATGTGCTATTCAATCTGACTTTAAATTTCACGGCCGTCGTGCAGTCTAAAAATGCTCTACTTTCTACTTTCTTATTCCTGGATCAAATTGTATGGGCTGGCCGAACTGGCATATACAAGGTTAAGATTTCCTACTTCTAAAGCCCCCACCCCTAAAGAGTTTTTGCTATTTAAAATTGGATGAATCATTGTTTATCTTCATGTTATTTTCCAGAACAAAGAACGCGCAGAACTGATTAGCAGGATATCCCTGTTCTGCTGGATGGGTTCTTCAGCTTGCACTACTCTAATTGAGGTTAAAACTGCCTTTTAAATTTTTTTTCCCTTTTTAACATGAAAAATTTAAGCTTCCTATGTAATCCAAGAAAGATTTGCTTATTTCTAGCGCACATGGTCTGTGATTTTCTCACATGTAAATGTTTAAATTCCTCTACCACAGTTAGCAGAGCTTGGAAGATTATATAACTCTATGAAAAAGTTGGAGAAGGAGCTGAAAGCAGACGATAAACATAAGGTATGAAATGTCAAAACTAGTGTTATTCTATACATGTCCTCTTTTGTATATAATTAAAGAGAAATGTGCTAAAATAGTCATCTGCCTTTTTGCAGCTGGTCATTTTCGTTCTAGAGTCTATAAAAATATTAATTTAGCCACCCAACAATTTTAATATTACTGAAATATAGTCTCACAGAGGATTATTTCAGCCCCAACTTAAATGCGTTCAGGACTAATTTGACATTGTTATGCATTCTAGGACTAAAAATGGCCCCATGTAAAGGGTCGATGTACATTTTTGATACTTGGCTATATAATCAAATTATTAACTGCTTTTGGCGACGGTGAATTTCAGAATCCACAGTACCTGGCGAAGATACAGAAGTCAAATGAGAGGCTGCTGTCTCTGATCAAAGCATCAATGGATATGGTGGTTGCTGTTGGGCTGCTTCAACTCGCTCCTAAGAAAGTCACTCCTCGCGTGACTGGAGGATTCGGTTTCATTAGCTCCCTCATTTCTTGCTATCAGGTGAATATGGGAATCACTTCTGATTTTTATTTTGTGTTTATATGTTTACTTGAATCAAAACATATTTGATATATTATCACATGTTTAGTTGTTTTCATAAAAACTTAAAAAATAAATTTTAGATGTTTCGAGTGCTTTTATAAATAACTTATTTTATTTTTGAAAAAAAGTAATACAAAAAATGAGCTAAACAATCATTTTTAAAATAAAATAAAAAACTAAATAAAATAAAAAAAACAGAAACCCAAATAAGCCCTTATTGTTTCTTTCAATTCGTTCTTTATTGTTGATTTTGCTTGACGTTTCTGTGCACCTTTGTTTCAGCTACTTCCTGCTCCTGCAAAGTCAAAGGCTGCATGAAAATGGTGAGATGAGCCACTAATTAATATTTCATTTTCATGAATTCTGCCTCATTTTTATTAGACTGTTGATGCCCATACTCTCATTTTTGAAGCAGTGATTCAGTGAAGAAGAAGCTGGCTCGGGTGGTGGACTGTATTCACATTATTGGGTTAAAAATGTATAATCAGACCTAACATTTCCACACGTTAGGAAATTATGGTGATATTTTAAATGCTTCATAATTTAAATTTGCTTGACGATATAAATTAGTCATGGAAAGGAATAAATGTTTGTGTTGATGTGTTTGCGTTTAATCTATTGATTTTTAAATTTTTGGCCCATTTACATACATGCCACACAATTATTATGTATTTATATATCAAACACCAATATTTTCATATTTATAAATATAACACTCAAATTTTTAATATTACATAAAAAAAGTATTGTTATTTGCTTTTTAAAAGAGAAAAACATCTCTGCATTGCATGGGTTTTTTATTTCAAAATGTTACAAATGTAAATATTGAATTTTAGGTGTTAGATATGAAAATAGTTGAGAATTGTCGGAAAAAGTTTGCGTAGTAAGACTTACGCAGCGTTGCGTACATCAAGATTATACATAGAGTATATGAGAGTTATATCCGTGTTATATCTTCTAAAAACTACAAGTAACCTACATGTACCTTCTATCAAGTTTTACGGTTCTATTTTCATATATTTGTAAGTTACATGAAAGTTGCACACCTACATGTAACCTACAAGTAACCTACATGTATCTTCTATCAAGTTTTACGGTTCTGTTTTCATATATTTGTAAGTTACATGAAAGTTGCACATGATATAACGTGGATATAACCCCTATGTACTCTCTGTATAACTCTGACGTATGCAACGTCGCGTGCCTCTTACGTATGCAAGTTTTTTCCAGAATTGTGAGGTATGCGTGCACATTTACCAAAATGTTTATCTTGATGAGAATTTGCATGTAGGAGCTCTTTCTTAGTCACATATCTTTATTTATTTATCATGTATTTAGCAGTATTGCTAACACCCGAAAGGCTTGAATGCTTCACCCGGATTCAAGGAGGAAGATGGAGATTTAAAATAGGATTTGGTGCAAGGCTTGTGAAGAAATTGTTGCTTTTCTCTGAAAATAGAAAATTTAACTTTGAAGCATATTTCAATGTTAGTTTTAATTAATTAATTTTTTTTTTTTTTTGTTTAGGGGAATTTAAAGGGTCATTCATACATACCTTTTTTTTAATGTGGAGGACATAGAGACAACTCATCTTGGTACTCAAGACAATACCCATACACATTTTTCTTAATGCATTGTTGAAAAAAGTAGCTGTTATTGTTGGCTCAAAACAACCCATAGACCCCATTTTTAGTGTGATGTGTAGGTCCGGCATTCTTCTCACTACCCCTACTTGTTCTTGGTGTGTAATGATATAATTCACTTAAAAGATAGCTGTGTATTGTCTTATATAATTTTGTATATACATTTTTAATATCTATTTATATGAAATCTAGATGTTCGATATGTAAATACATAAGTTTGAGTGGTATGCATGCAAATCTAAGACCCCATTGCTTGTTTAAGCTAAAACATGTTTTAACAAAAAAATATTTTTGAGGATAATGATTTCTATGACACAGAAATTGTAGAAAAATCAAGTCATCATTTTCTTAAAATAGATATTTTACTGCGACAAGCCAACAAATGAGCCATGAGGAAGTAAAATAATATATAAATGAATTAATGATGCCAAAATTAACATTTTTTAAATTTATATTAATTTAAAAATTATATCATTTACCAATAAATATACATTTCTATAAAAAAAAAATATTTATTTTTCTCATGATTTTATATCACCACAGCGACTTTTTGTATTCTAAAAATGCCTTTATTTTGTTTAGTATTTTATATTTAAATCAGCATTTTAAATTTAATATTTAATTTCTATAATGACTGAATTATTATTATTTTTTAATATAATTTTTTTTATAAAAAATGCTAATGTGAAAATTGATGTGATGTTTTCTTTTTATATAAAAAATGTGTGACCATTTTAAAAATATATTAATTAATTTATGTCACAACAAAATAATATAAAATTCTTCTTTCTATTTTTATGATATTTACATTGCATGAAAAAAAAAAATGTATTTCATTTTTAAAAATAAAGTGATGATAGTATTTTTGACGTGATATCAAAGACTTCAGTGGTATTATGAATGTAAGTATGAATGTTAGGGGTTTGATATGTTAATATATAAGAAGTGTGGGGTATTTTTGTAAATGCTCCTATTCATTTTTATCATTTTCATGATAATCTCCTTGAATTTTAAAAAAGAAAGGGGTTGATGTTACAATAATGTAATTAACATGGCACATAGAGACAGATGCTTTTATTGAATGCTTGTAGTGCTCATTATGCCAATAATTCAATGCAATTTACTACATCTAAGCTCTTTATTTTTCTATTTATGTCCATTTGAGGGGTCACAAAACGGAAACGGCCAATAAAACTCTTATTCAGGCTTGAATCGATGGAGCTAACCCTAATCTGTTTGTTATACTAATCAAGAAAATGGAAATTTACATGCATACCACACAATTCCTTTGTATTTACATATCTAACCATTAAACATTAATATTTTTGTTTAAAATGCTTTGGTGTTATGAACCTATGTATGGAAAGTATGGTAGAACTCTACTTTTGAAAAGTTTGTAGCAGTGATAGTAAAGATTAGAGGGTTATGCATGCAAATATGAAAGTTCTGGTGTTATAGATACGTAAAAACATGAGAATTGTGTGGTATATCTATGTAATTGCATTGTAAGACAATAGGATTTAAGAATGCATCATAAAGAAGGTATGAGGCGGCCGAAGAGAAAATGTGTATGTATGTTTAATTGAATTGGTGTCGTTTCAAACTAAACTAAATCAAAGAAGTTTGGCATTCTTTGCGCTATATTTATTGTAAGTAGGGCTGTCAAAATGGGTGGTTGTTCGTGAACAGCTCGTGTTCGGCTCGTTAAGAAGCTCATGTTCAACCCGTTCGCTAAGTTAACGAGCCGAACACAAACAAATATTTTTTCGTTCATGTTCGTCTCGTTTTGGCTTGAAATACTACTAATCAATTATATATATATATGTATATATATATATATATATATATACACACACA